TATTTTTGCATTCCATTTGGGTGGTTCATATTTTGGGATTGATATGTGATGAGTTAAGTTTGATGGTAGTGTGTTTGTGGGATACAAGATTGACTGCAAGCAGTTACAAATTTATACATATATATAAACAACAATAGAATAATATAAGTTGAGAATTTCCGAAGCTGTGATGGCTCTATTTTGATGCTGAATTGTGGGAGTTCTTGATAGACTATTGGATTAATTTATTCTATTGTTGTTACAAGAAAAGAATGATGGGTGCAATTAATAATTGTTTATGCGGTGTAATATTTTATTAGGTTTGTGAGATTGAGGTAGATCTTGGTAATTCGAGATTAGTTTTGGAAATATTAATTTAGTTGTTTGAGGTAAGTAACCCTCTATCACTGTTGGTTCATTTTTATTCCGACTGAATCGGTTGAAATTATAAATATTTATTTATAGCCTTCATGTTCTCTTAAAATAAAATATGGGTCAAGTATAAAATAACATTGGATATTATTATGAAAATTCTTTGTATATTCTGTGAAACTATTCTGAAAATTGTACCAAATGTTTATTCTGAAAATATCGAATATTTTATTTAAAAGTTGTGTATTGTTTAAATTTTGAACATCACTCTAGTCTAACTATGATTTGGACCCTAGCCAATAGGGGTTATTTATTGGCACAGAAACTAATTTCTTTTGGGGTTTTACCACCGGCCTATGTATGATTTTGGGCCTTGTCACTGTAACATCCTAAATATTTAATTAATACCATAACTAACTACGATTATTAATAAAAATAATAATAAAGAATAATAAATCTAATTTGAAATTGGGTTATCAAATATGTAATTAATTATTTAGGGTCAAATTAACACAATTATAGAACAACACTATTAGTCCGGCCACATTAGAATTAATGATTATATAAACAAATAAAGACAAATCTAATATATAGATTTACTAAGGGAGATAATCAGCAATTAATTGGATAGATTTACAAATTCCCTAGAGAAAAAGGAAGGCAGGCCATCTGTGCCATCTAAGCCATTAGGAAAGGTGAATCATCAACCTTTGGGTCATCATGATGGGGTGAGTCAGCACCCAAGAATGTGTATATAAGGAGGGGAGGGGGCTGTGAAATTAGTGAGGAAAAAAAAAGAAAAAAAAAAAAGGGAAACGAAGGAACAGCTATGAGAAGGTAGCAAAAATAAGAAGAAAATAGTAAAAGTCAATATTAATGTGAGTTATATTATACCTTAAGTCACCATAATATATTTTACGTATGTTTTGGGTTACTATAAATTATTTTACGCAATCTATGGTTTATAAATTATATTAATATTTTGATTACGTTAATTATTCTTTGAACTTTATTTGCTTAAATTGAAATCCATGGATATGTTTGTTTAACTTTTATAAATTATTTGGCAATGGTTTTATAAACAAATATGTTTTGTAAGTACCACCACGGGAGTCCCATGTCTTGGGGGACTTAAATAACCATTGACCTTTGTTTGGCCACTTTATGGTTCTCTGTTTGTCATGGATCCATTGACCTCCATTCTGATTGTCACTCCTGTGACCTCTGTTATGTTCTATTCTGTACCGTGGTTATGGTTATTTATTTACATAATTTTCGTATTTCAGTTTCTGCCACTTTGAATAATTTGTTTATTCAAATTAAGTTATATAAATGTTTTAGCTTAACTAACTATCCATGGTTATTTCGTGTTCCCTATACTCTTGGCATAATATTTCTCACTATGTTGTATGCTTATAGTTGTGACCCTTTCAAGTGACGAGATATAAGGAAGACCCATAACCTCATGTAGTGGAACCCAAACAAGAATTGATGTTGATATGTTATTTTGTTTTTTTCCTTTTCTTTCTTTTATTTATTTATGTATTTTTTACTGAGGGTCGATCACTAAATAAAATAAATAAATAAAATCCCTATAGATGTACTTTATTTATCAAAATAGTCGGATGAAGTAAATTTTATGTTTAACTATTTTTTTACTTCAATTTTGCCTTCGCTTGCGCCATCTAATTTTTTAAGAGTAGAATTAATTAGTAAGTTGTGATTCCAGCGCTAAGCCCCTGGGGTTAAGTCGTGACAAAGGTGGTATTAGAGCAACGGTTAGACATATTAAATAAAGTAAACTAAGAAATAAATATTTACCTACGACGTTAGTCATTTTCTGTAAAATCTGGTGATGTAGGAATATCCGAGATTAACCTTAATGAGGCATTTTGGGAGAAGCTCGGGGCCATTAATTTGGAGGATATTTTAGCAAAGCACCCCGCTCCCGCATCACCTGAAGGATAGGGAGACTCAGAGGATATAATTAGGAGACTGCATGCAGGCCTTGCCCAATTGATGGGTCGGCCAATGTATATATAGACCGATCCTACTGATGTACCATACCTATTGTGGAGGCAGAGTCATGTTTACACGCGTAGACGCTTTTTCGGACCCACTCGTGTCCTCGACCTTGCCCCAGGATATGACCGTCCACACTACATCATCGAACCTTTGCCCCTAGATTTTGTTACCAGAAGGGGAAATGTGTACCCCGAGGACTACGTCTTCACCAATGTCCCTAACCCGTTGGAAATTATTAATATTCAAAATGTTGATTTTAATAATGACCTATCATACATTGAGCAACCGGGATGGATAGTCGATCGAGCATTTTGGGGCTATATATAGTCCATCCCTATTTACACAGTCTAGGCCGCATGGGTTTGTTTTGGTGTGGTACAGTTGAGATGAGAGTTTGAGCTTTTTATGCAACACTACTTCCCGTGGTTATTTGACCCGTTTGAACCACTACTCTAGATTTGGTAGAAGAAAGCTTTTTTGTACGCTAACCATGATGCGTTCTAAACCTTTGGTTTTTTGTTTTTTGTTATATCACAGGGATGAGATACTAACATGTTTTGACTTTTGAACAAAGATGTAATATTAATAGTAAAAGTAGTAAAGTTGGTATTTTATATATATTGCGCTATATATGTTTATATATATGATGCGTTATGGATATAATGCCTCGTTTATTACTTTGTATGATGGCCCATAATGGTAACGAAAATGAGTCATCAGTCAGTGGCACTGAATCAATGGAAAGAATCATGGAAAGAACGGTTACTAGCTTTTTGCAATCCTTGTAGACTAACATCAACAATGGGATGTCGGAACAGCGAGAAGAGCTGGTTACCATAAAACAGTTCTAGGATCTGAAACCCACCACATTTACTGGCGGTCCAGACCCAATGGCAGTAGACGCTTGGGTTAAAGACATGGAAAAGATTTTTCGCGCTCTACCCAGCACCGAAAGACAAAATGTGACTTTCGCCACTTTCATTTTTAAAGATAATACGTAGGAATGATGGCTTCTTACCCTAGAGAAAGAAGAAATTGTGACTTGGGCAAGATTCTTAGAAGTATTCTATGCAAAATACTTCCCAAATTCGTTACGGGAACAATAAACGTCGGAATTCATACATCTGAAGCAAGAAACCATGACGTTAGCCGAAAATGAGAGTAAGTTTACACAACTTGCTTGGTTTGCAACATATGTTATCCCCATCAAAGCTTGAAAAACAAGAAAATTCAAAGCAGGATTGGATGCTGAAATCAAAGATAGGCTTGAGGTTTTGAACCTACCAACCTATGCAGAAGTGGTAGACCGAGCATACATTGCCGAAAAAGCAATTAAAGCCTCCCGTTCTGGGGAACCAAGCCAAAAGAAACGATTCTGGGAAAGAGACAACAGAAGATCCGGTGTTGCACCTCCTAAGAAGGTGAATACGGGCACAACCAGATCAGACAGTCAAGGTTCTACAAACCCTAGAGGTAGTACCATTCCAACTTGCCTTACGTGTTGAATGGCTCATTGGGGGCAATGCCATCAAGATACAAGAGCATACTTTAAATATGGTCAAGTTGGCCACTTGCTGAGGGATTGTCCGAAGCTTATCAATCCTACAGCCAGCCTCTCTGGCCAGTTAAAAAACCCGCAGGACCTGGAGGAGAGATGAAGGACCAAAAACGCCAAGGAAGGGCTTTTGCCTTAGTACCTGGAAAACCAAAAGTTACCGAAAATGTTGTGTCAGGTATACTTTCTGTCTATGGTCGTTTAGCTCATGTCCTCATTGACTCTAGGTCAACTCATTCTTTTGTTGCACCACACTTTGCTACTTAGTTGGCATCAACACTCGAACCCTTAGGATATGTATTGTTTGTGTCTTTTCCTTCTGGTAATTCTGCCTATAATACTGATGTGTACAGATTATGTACTATATCCTTAAAGGCAAAACCTAATACGTAGACTTGATTTCCCTCCGCATTGGGAACTCTGATGTGATCTTAGGGATGGATTGGCTGGCTGCCAACTACGCCTCTGTTAATTGTAAAGCCAAAAAGGTCTCCCTTAAGTTACCAAACCAACCCAAGCTTGTCTTTGACGGGACTGGAGTTTCCAACCCTCCCTGTATTATATCCACCATGACAGCCCAGCGACTTCTAAGAAAGGGTTGTTGTAGTTATATTTGTTATGTGATCGATACACGAAAAGAGGTCCCCACCGTTGAAACAATCCCCATGGTTCGATAATTCCCGAATGTCTCTCCTAAAGATCTACCTAGTACCTCGGTTGACTAAGAAATCAAATTCACTATTGAAACTCAACCTGGTACCCAACTAGTATCAAAAGCCCTTACTGCATGTCAATGACGGAATTGAAAGAACTGAAGGCTCAACTCCAGGAACTCTTGGACAAAGGTTTCATTCGACCTAGTACCTCACCTTGGGGAGCTCCAGTACTATTCGTAAAGAAAAAGGATGGCACGATGAGGTTATGCATCGATTATCGGGAGCTGAACAAGGTCACCATCATGAATCGGTACCTTTTGCCATGAATCGATGACTTGTTCGATCAACTTCAAGGTGCCCAAGTATTCTCAAAAATTGACTTGCGTTCTGGCTATCATGAACTAAAATTCAAAATGGAAAGTATCGAAAAGACTACCTTCAAAGCCCGTTATGGGCACTATGAGTTTCTCATTATGCCATTTGGCGTTGCAAATGCTCCAGCGGCCTTCATGGGCCTCATGAACCGAGTGTTCAAACCTTATCTCGACGAGTTCGTTATAATCTTCATTGATGACATTCTCATATACTCCAAGTCACCGAAAGACCATGAGCAACACTTGCGTGTGGTTCTACAAACACTATGTGATCACAAACTTTATGCCAAGTTAAAGAAATGTGAATTTTGGATAACTAGTGTACACTTCCTCGATCATGTCATAAACAAAGATGGCATCTCGGTTGACTCCTAAAAAGTTACAACAATCGTGGATTGGCCACGACCTACTAATGTGTCAAAAATTCGAAGTTTATTGGGTCTAGCTGGCTATTACTGACGTTTCGTGCAAGATTTCTTGAAAATAGCATCACCTTTGACCCAACTAACTCAGAAGAATACACCATTTGAATGGACTGACAAATAGAAACATTGCTTCCAAGAATTAAAAAGTCGACATATGTCAGCTCCTATACTAGCACTCCCTACAAGAGTAGATGGGCTCGTAATTTATAGTGATACCTCATACAATGGTTTGGGTTGTGTTCTTATGCAAAATGGAAAAGTCATTGCTTATGCCTTATGCCAACTAAAGACTCAAGAGAGAAACTACCCAACTCATGATCTAGAATTAGTTGCGGTGACCTTCACCCTCAAGATCTGGCGTCATTATCTTTACGGTGCAACTTGCGAAATTTACACTGATCATAATAGTCTTAAATATCTGTTCACACAGAAGGAACTGAATATGAGGCAACGACGGTGGCTAGAATTTATGAAAGACTACAATGTAAAAATCCATCACCATCCAGGTAAAGCTAACGTGGTGGTAGATGCACTGAGCCGAAAGACGACCAGAAGTTTGGCATGTACTCTGGTTTCCCACAAAATCAATGGACTGCTCGCCAACATAACCGTGGAACCTACCTTAATTAAAGAAATTAGAGCACGCCAAAGTGAAGATAAACTCTTGAAGAAAAAGTACAAGGAACTAAGGAGTATGTCTGATCTTGATTTCACTATAAGCAATGGGATACTGAAGTTTCAAAATCAAAATTGCGTACTTGATAGTTCAGAATTCAAGAAGAAGATATTGGTAGAAGCTCATAGTTCGAGATTTGTAGTCCACCCTGGTAACACAAAGATGTACCAAGATTTGAAGGAACACTACTGTTGGACAAGAATGAAAAGAGACGTAGCAAACCATGTCTCCAAATGTCTGCATTGTCGACGTGTTAAAATAGAACATCGGAGACCAGCAGGGATGTTGCAACCACTCCCTAGTCCTGAATAGAAATGGGAGCACATTACTATCGACTTCATGGTCAAGTTACCACTGTCATTTTTGAAGAATGATCCAATTATGGGTTATAGTAGACCGATTGACAAAGTCGACGCATTTTCTGCCAATCAAAATCATGTACTCCCTTAATAAGTTTGCCACTTTATACATCAAGGAAATTATTCGTTTGCATGGCACCCCAGTTTCAATTGTGTCTGACCGAGACTCCCGCTTCGTGTCTCACTACTGGAACAAATTGCAGGAGGCTTTGGGGACTACACTGAATGTCACGACCCATTCCCCATACCCAAGGGTTAAGTATCGTAATGGCTAGTAACTGAAGTTACCTCCGGCCACTTTTTAAACAAATCATTAAACATGAGCAGAAAAATATTTAAGTGAGAGTACCAAAATAATCATCGGAGCTTCTATTTTTATAAGAAAATTTATTGACCAAAAAAATCGATATTTACATATAAAAATTGCCATAAAAGTTCTGTGTGAGTCTATTCTGCAGCCCCGAGTCTAAGACTCTCCAAAAACTATTTTTGAATTGTATTGTTTCCTGAAAATTGGTAAACAGCTATAAAACATGGCAGAGTGAGAAATATTATACTGAGAGCATGAGAGTATAAAATCACCATGGATAATTATTGGCTAAATTAAGCTTGATATTAAAATACATAATATATAATACAGAGATCATTTGACATATAATACAGAAATCATATAAACAAAATAATCATAACCATGGTACAAAACGGAACAGAACAGATGTATGGACTCGAGAGGTGGGTCGTACGAACTCTAGAGGTGGCTCACACAATAGTGTAGCACTTAGCTCCGTACTGCACTTTGCTCCACACCAGAAATCAGAGTATCAGTGGATTCATAACAAACAGAGAGTCACAAAGTGAATAATCAGAGGGCCAATGGTTATTTAAGTTCCCCAAGACATGGGACCTCCATGGTGGTACTTATAAAATAATTTCTCAAAACACGTTTTAATAAACAGTTATATCCATGGGTTTTCTTTAGTATATCAAATAAGGTTCATAAATAACATAACATAATTAAAAATGCTAATATAATATATAAAATATAATTTTCGTAAAATAAATTATGGTAACTCAAAACATACGTAAAATATATTATAGTAACTCAAGATATAATATAACCCACCTTAAAATTAATACCTCACTCTTTCTTTCCACTATCAAAGACCTTCTTGACTTCTAGTATTTTTTCCCCTTTCTTTTCCTCATCCTGAGCAACTCTCCTCCTCCTTTATATAGAAAAAGGACCGTGGGCACCAGGCCACACGGTTGCCCACACGTCTCATTCCTATTGATATGCCATTAATTCATGCTTATCTCAATTACTTACCTTTAGGTTCAATTTTACTGTGGTTCAAATCTTAAATTAATTATATATCCTTTTTTTCGATAATATATAATCTCTAATTTAATTACACTTTATCTCATATACCCATAACATTTAATATTTTATTTTACTCTTACGGAATATTTAATTAAACATTTAGGGTTTTTCTCATTTATAATTAAATAATACTAATATAAAATTTAAGGGACAACTTAAATTTTTGGATTGTTATAATCTTCTCTCCTTTTAAAAATTTCATCCTCGAAATTTGTCATATGTCTAAGCTATCCGCTGCGCACTCTGATAAATATATATTTGATGATTAATCTGATAAAAAATATTACCTCAAAGAAAAACTTTACCAAAAATAACTCACTATTTATTTGTCAAAAACTGTTTTGTGCCAAAACTTTTCATTGTTTTTGTTTTCGGAAATACAAAAACAAAATAAAATGAGAACACAATTAAATAAGCGACTGAAAATGAAATGACAGAATTATATGCAGGAGTTGAAGGAATTTGGGATGAATTTCCATTTCTTTAATCCGTGAACTTTCCACTGATGGGATATAGTTTCAAAATTAGTATCTTTTAAAAAAAATTGAAAGATTACAGATTTGAACCCACGAATTTTTTTTTTATATTTATTTTTAAATTGTTTTTTTTTTTCAAATTATTCAGCATATACATGAAAGATATATACAATTATATATAGAGTAACAAATATTTCATCTTAATTACAAAATTTAATGAAATACCATAATTATATATACTACGATTGTTATTACACAAATATTTAATTTAACTACAACCTGTAATCTAACTCAACGTTTCCCCCATCCTATTTGTGCATGGTCTTATGCTCCAATGCTTTTATAAAAATAATTTTAAAAACCTAGGCTCTGATACCACTTGTCACGACCCGCTCCCTGTACCCAAGGGTCAAGTATTGTGATGGCCAGTAACTGAAGTTACCTCCGGCCACTTTTTAAACAAATCATTAAACGCGAGCGGAAAAATATTTAAGTAAGAGTACCAAAATAATGATCAGACTTTCTATTTTTATAACAAAATTTATTGACCAAAAATGCCGATATTTACATATAAAAATACCATAAAAGTGCTGTGTGTGTCCATTCCACAGCCCCGCGTCTAAGACTCTCCAAAAGTTATTTCTGAATTGCATTGTTTCCTGAAAATTGGTAAACAGCTATAAGTACATGGCAGAGTGAGAAATATTATATTGAGAATATGAAGGTATAAAATCACCATGGATAATTATTGGCTAAATCAAGCTTGATATTAAAATATAGAATATATAATACAGAGATCATTTGACATATAATCCAAAAATCATACAAACAAAATAATCATAACCACGGTATAGAATGGAACAGAACAGATGTATGGACTCAAGAGGTGGCTCGTACAAACTCTAGAGGTGGCTCTCACCATAGTGTAACACTTAACTCCGTACAGCACTTTGCTCCATACTAGAAATAGAACGAAACAGAACAGATGTATGGACTCAAGAGGTGGCTCGTACGAACTCTGGAGGTGGCTCACACAATAGTGTAGCACTTAGCTCCATACAGCATTTTGCTCCACACCAGAAATCAGAGTGTCAGTGGATCCATGACAGACAGAGGGTCATAAAGTGACTAATCAGAGGGCCAATGGTTATTTAAGTCTCCCAAGACATGGGATCTCCGTGGTGATACTTATAAAATAATTACTCAAAATACATTTTAATAAACAGTTAAATTCATGGGTTTTCTTTAGTATATCATATAAAGTTCATAAATAAATAACATAATTAAAAATGCTAATATAATATATAAAATATAATTTTCGTAAAATAAATTATGGCAACTCAAAACATACGTAAAACATATTATGATAACTCAAGATATAATATAACTCACTTTAAAATTAATATCTCACTCTTTCTTTCCACTATCAAAGACCTTCTTGACTTCTAGCATTTTCTTCCCCTTTTTTTTCCCTATCCTGAGCAACTCCCTCCCTCTTTTATATCGAAAGAGGACCATGGGCACCAAGCCACACAGCTGTCTATTGATATGCCATTCATTCATGCTTATCTCAATTGCTTACCTTTAGGTTCAATTCTACTTTGGTTCAAATCTTAAATTAATTATATATCCTTTTTTTTCGATAATATATAATCCCTAATTTAGTTACACTTTATCTCATACACCCATAACATTTAATATTTTATTTTACACTTACAGAATATTTAATTAAGCATTTAGGGTTTTTCTTATTTATAATTAAATAATACTAATATAAAATTTAAGGGACAACTTAAATTTTTGAATTGTTACACTAAAGTTTAACACTGTTTATCACCCGCAAACTGATAGTCAATTCGAAAGAACAATCTAAACTTTATAAGTCATGTTACGTATATGAGTGTTGGACCTTAAAGGTAATTGGGATTAGTACCTACATTTAGTGGAATTCGCCTATAACAATAGCTACCAAGCGAGCATTGGAATGACACCATATGAAGCTCTGTATGGAAGAAGATGTCGATCACCTTTGTGTTAGGTGGAAGTCGGAGATAGGAAACTGTTAGGCCCCGAGATCGTGCAAGTGACAAGTGATAAAATCCAACTAGGGTTGTTCATATTAACCGAATACCTGCTCAAACCGTCCGATCCGGACTGACCCAGCCTGCCACGGACGGTTTCGAAGAGAAGAACGGTTGGCTACAGTTTTTCTGCACTAAATTTCACAAATTTACGGTCGGCAATGGATCTTCCACATATAAATTCGATGAACCCAGCCAAACCGAAACAATAATGAGTATATAATAGTATTTATATATTTACATTGGGAGTATGCATAGTAGTCTAGACTCTAGTCTATCAAAGACAGGCTATCCTTTCACTTTCCAAAGCATTAATAATGATGAGTCTCTCTCTCTATTGTCTTCACACATTTATTTCTAATTTTGCTTCTCTCTCTCTCATAAATCCTAGGTAGACCAAAAGTTGAAAAAATCTCTTCTTCTCTCTCTTCACTCTCGTCTTTGGCCTTTCTCTTTCTCTCATTTTTCATCTCTTTCTTTGAGAGACAAACTCATCTCTCCCTTATTTGTGCTTCTCTTTCTTTTGATGGTAATGGTTGTCGTGAAGACGAATGGCAATGATTTGCGATGGCGATAGCGATGGTTACAGCTACGATGGTGAGTCTGTCTCTTTCTCTCTCCACTCTCTTCATTTTTTTTCATACACTGTCATAGATGTATGTGTATATGTGTGTATATATATGTATATGTATGAGTATGATTTCAATTCAATATTTTACACAAAAATTTCACCCCCACCTAGATTTTCGGATTCGACCGAACCAACTGTCAAACCGCCTTCTTTAATTCGGTTGACCACGGATCACCAATTTCTTAACCCGAAGGTGTTGATTCGGTTGACGGGTAAAGGGTAAACCCAAGCCGAACCGACCCATGAACAGACCTAAATCCAGCTCACTCAACAGCAAATTCACATTACTCAGAGTCGCCAGAAAAGCTATGCAGATACACGAAGATGGGAATTGGAATTTCAAGTAGGAGATCATGTTTTCCTAAAGATCTCACCAATAAGAGA